AAACAGCTTAGAGAAGTTTAAAAATGAAAAGTTAACATCTTCCCACGCCTCCATTTTATTCCTGTCCTTGATATTAATCACTACTGAGTACTTTCCGTTTTCATTCTGCTGATGGTTTCCTTTGTAATTCTAAACAATCACAGGTAATAAATCTAGACACTTGTTGCTTTTGTATTAAGACTGACCACCAATATGTACAAAATTAGAATCCCCTGGTGTAAAAACATCTCATGTTGATAGTGATAATGTACGTTTCTTATAAAGGGTGAATATTTAGAAATCAGAGTTGCAGTTTTAATTTAATATGAAATCCCTTTCATTAATGGAGAACACTTTTTAAACCTATGTTTTTCATAGGTCGAGCATGATACTTCTCTGTGTTCTTTCAGTGAAGATCATTCCTTTTATCAACCACCTCCTAGTCTTCAACGATGCTGCTTTTCTTATGGGAACTTCAAAGAAACCAACTAGAATAGATCGATTTGAAACATATACACACTAAAAATTTTCTCTTTAAAATTTCTCCCTGTATTAATTTGAGGATAGAAAGTGAGATAAAAGCGGGCATTGTAATGATATTTTTCAGATAATGAAATGTGGACTGCTTGTAGTTATTCTCTGCAAAGGAGTGAAATAAAAAATAAATTTTTATTCTGGGCCTCAATGCCGTGGCATTTCTTGAGGCGGCGATTATAATAGTTTTATGCCAACAATGGGCACCTGCTGATCTCATTCAGGTCAAAAACTCCTTTGTGCCACCTCAGGAAAGAGGACAAAGCCTGCCTAGGAGAAATCCGAGAAACAGACAATCACTAAAATCTAACGTGAAGTGAGGAATCTGCGTGTGGGGTCTCCACGAATCGTGCAGCATGAGGACGATAAAGGGTTTTTCTAAGCAGCCATCCATGTATTGACACAAAGCAGTGGTAAAGATGCTACGTTTCCGAATACATGCTTTTGAATTTCAGACAGACCGTGTCTAAAGGAACGGCGCAGGCCATTTCTGTCTGTTAGTTACATTATAACTGCCACTGAGGAAGAATACTTACAAGGTCGTTTTTCTTACCTTTTTTCTTCTTTATTTTTGTTACCGACTTTTTCTATATAGTCTCAGTGACATTTTGCTAGGCACCTCAAGTGTCAAATTGATTATTTGTTTAGACAACCGATAAAGACCTGGTAAATAACGTATTTTGAACAACACTGAATGAGCCTTTAGTGCATAACTAATCATGCACAAAGACTAGGTGAAATGTCATAATAATGTGCTTTTCTTTTGTGAAGTGTGTCTTTAACATTTTAAAATTTCTGTTGGGAATTACCCGGCAAGCTTGACACTCAGACATAAATATTTAAATTATGTCTGTGTCTATTGTGTTTTCTCAGATGCCAGATATTTTAGAACATTTTACTTTAAAGTTCCCAAACAGTATTTCATTGTCTTTCATGATGAAGAGGGCTTCTTAGTTGCTAGTTTGATATCGCTCATATTAGGCAAACTCATACATAGCTAACAGATTTTTCCAGTGAACTTTCTGGTATTGTTCATTTTACTCTCCAGTGTGATTATTTGTTATTAAATATCACCTGTCACACATTCCAAGTTGTGAAATTATAGTGAGCTCCTTATGATCGGTTTTAATTTTTTTATTTGAGTAAGGAAAGTAATCTTGCTCATTTTCTGAAAGACATCTACTTTCTACGAGCCCCCTTCTCTATGTTAGACATAAGCAACATCTGCCTACTGTGTTCATAATTGTTTCTGTGATAAAAGGACATCAATTAAAAAGGTATTTATGCCCTGGCTGGCGTAGCTCAGTGGATTGAGTGCGGGCCTGCGAACCAGAATATCGCGGTTTGATTCCCAGTCAGGGCACATGCCTGGGTTGCAGGCCAGCTCCCAGCAAGGAGCGCATGAGAAGCAACCATACATTGATATTTCTTTCCCACTCTTTCTCCTTCCCTTCCCCTCTCTTGAAAAAATAAATAAAAATAAAATAAAAATAAAAAATAAAAATAAAATTATTTTTAAAAAAGGTATTTATATTTAGAACTTACATTTAGAATATTATGTGGTATAATGAGCTGGAAATTTAAAAAAAATAGTTTTCTACCATGTATTGTTGAATTATAAGGGATATGTCATTCAATCCCTTCAGGTATGTGTTATTCTATCCCTTTTTTAACCAATTATTTATTTATTTTTTGAATATTTATTTATTTATTTATCTTTAGAGGGGAAGGGAAGGAGAGAGGGAGAGAAACATCAATGTATGGTTGCCTCTAGTGTGTCTCCTGCCGGGAACTGGCCTGCAACCCAGGCATGTGCCCTGACTGGGAATTGAACTGCGATCCTCTGGTTCGCAGACCTGTGCTCAATCCGCTGAGCTACACCAGCCAGGTTAACCAATTATTTTTTAAACATCAAACCAATGGCATAAATATTGGACTACATAGCCCAAAGTTGCCCAGCTGGTGAGTAATAGGATTATGGCTCGGACCCATTTCTACACACCGGACTGTGGCCTCCCACAGCCCTGGCTAGAGAAGGTGAATAAATAGAAAGAGGGGCTGTATGTGGAACAGAACCCGGCACCGAAACATCGTCCTTTATTTCTCTGCATGTTCTCCCCACCCGGTGCACCTCGGAGCCCAGATGAGAGCTGTGTTTAGTGGTACCGGAAAAAGCCAGGGCTTGAAAAATACCGAGCCTCACTATTGACTCTGTGGTCACCCGCTCGGCATGGAGTAGGCGGCTTCCTTCCCATCCCCATTTAAAACTCCAGAGTCCGTCAGTGTGCATCAGCCGAGAGGGATGACTTAGGGGGAACTTACTGTTTTCTCTTTTGAAATTGCACTGCAGTGTTATTTTTAATGCTTTGTCTAAGTAATTACGAGGTGGCAATAATGGAATGATCTGCAGGATACTCTATAAGTAGCTGAGAACTTTTAAGGTGTTGTGTATTTAGCATACGAGTAAACAATGCATGCACCGGCGAAATGAGGACTATTGTAGGCACAGGAAAGAAACAAAAGTGTACAGAGTGGTGTTACTCCCGGAGCCGCTGCAGGCAGCAGGGAGACCAGCTGAAAGGAGCGGGTCCCACACGCATTCCAGACTGAGTGCACTGTGACTCTGTGTCCCTAACACCACCTTGTCTTCAAGGTGATGGGTCGATAAATAGTTTTGACAGTGTCAATAATGTTAAATTTATTAAGGGTAAAATTAGTTATAAACAACTTTATTAAAAAGAAACATAACAAGACCATGTTGAAAAGACTGAAGGAAAATGTAGGCAACACATTATTAGAATTAAAAACAGCTAAGAAGCTGATGAAATGATATGAATGTATCCCAAGGATAATTATTCTGCTTATTCCCAATGTCCAGCTAATCAGTACATGGAATTTTAAAACTTGGGCTTTAATATACATTTTATTTTTTTAGTTTTATAAAGAATTTTATTTTTGAGAATAACTTTTGTATTACTTTTTACATTTTTCCACTTTAACAAAATGAGAAATTAATGTAGTTTGCATTTGTATTAATTTATTATAGATAGTTATTAAAATGTTCCTCTTAACAGGTTTCTAACAAAAACTGGGAAACTTTTTCAGCAAAGGGTGAGATGAGTAACAATTTTTAGGCTTTGTAGTCCACATAGGGCCTCTGTCACATTTTCCTTTGGGTTTTTGTTATTGTTTTTTAACATCCTTAAAAATGTGAAAACCAGTTGTAGCTTGCAGGCAGTGCAAAAGCAGGCCATGGGCCAGGTTTTGCCTGTGAGCTGTAGTTAGCCAACCCCTGGTCTGTGGCAGCGAGCAGAGCTAGTCTGTGTGATGGGGCATCGGGAAGGCAGAAGGTTTTTGTCCGATAAGGAAGACACTGCCGATGCTAGTCCAAGCCCTGAACAAGTGGAGTTGTGCCCGGAGAGCTAGGTGGTGGGAGCGTGGGAAACACCAGCCTGAGAGGGATGGCTCCTGGGTCAGGGCCAGACAGGGTCAGGGTCAGACAACGTCAGGGTCAGAGAAGGTGACGAGCTGGCGTCACAGCAGTCTTCAACTGCAAGTTCCACGATGCAGAAGAGGCAGACTTGTCCCGCCCGGCGCTTCCTGTGGAGCCCTGAGTTGTGGGGCAGAGTGCGTGTCCTTCCCTGGACGTTGCTTCCTCTGTTCAGGCATGCTGCGTGGGCTGTTGCCCCGGGAGGGACAGAGCACCTTGCAGAGAACTTCCCAGCCTCCAGACACGGTGATTTGGGGAGTGAGAAGGACGTAATTGTACTGGCCATGGACAGATTACAGATATGGATGTCAATAATGAGGGAATATTAGAGTAAAGAGAAGGATTTAATATGAGTAGAGTTAAATCCATCTTCTTAGGCTGTGTATACCTTGAATGGGTTTATGAAAAGGACTCACGTGGCTGGACAATCTCTAAAAATGTGACCTACCAATAATTTCATTTTGTTGTTATAATCTTTAGCATGGTAAAAGTTTCCAAAGACATCCTACTTGTTAGTCCAGGAAGTTTCTCTTTAGTTCATATGGATAAGGTGCACTTTACTGGGAAACTATAATGTATGTTCAAGTACCTTGCTGTCTATTTAGGTAAAATCCCCAAAATAGCATAAACCAGGTACTTTGGAGTGACTCTGTTTTTCTCACTCTGGCAACAACTTTTGATTCATCGAGAAGCAGAAGCCGTAGTAACAGACTTCCAGCTCATGTTCACCCCTTTGTGTTTCTCCTTTGTCTATGCCAACACTTCCTCCATTCAAAAAAAAAAAAATATCTCGAAAACTCATTGAAAGATACCACCCTAGGGTGGATTATCTGTGTACTAAACCTAAGCCCTCTGCCTCAGCCTCACCATTTATGGAAATAGCTGCAGCTACTGGTTTTTATCTGGTTGAACTGTTACAGTATTGATTCATTTTATTTTATGAATTCCATTAATGTAATCAGGATGCGATTTATCTTAATTTTGATTTTGGTTGTAGAGGTTGGCGATTTGAAGGAGCTGCAGACACTAGACATTTCTACCAATCGTTTGCTAACTTTACCCGAGAGGCTTCACCTGTGCCTTTCTCTGCAGTACCTCACCGTGGACCGAAACCGTCTGCGGTGCGTGCCGCGCCGCCTCTGCCAGCTGCCCAGCCTCAACGAGCTCTCCATGGCTGGAAACCGTCTTGCATTTCTGCCCCTTGGTAAGTGATCCTGTGTATATAGATGGCAAAGCAAAGAAGCCAAAGAGTAAGATGGAATGCCTTTGGTTCCTTGACGAGGGTCGGTTCGTTTTCTTCCTTCTCCCTGGAAGATTGCCTCTCTGGATCCATCTTTGCAGTGAACAGGGCATCACACGCAGGTGACAAAGTTCAGTTCAACTCAGGATTTCTTGTTTAAAAAAAAAAATCTGTGCTAAAAATTTGATGAGGGACAAAGCATGTGAGATGTGAAATGATTTACTCTGAGAAACGAATTAAAGTGCATGTATATATATACACAGATGTATTATATATATAACTCTAGAATTGGCAGGGGTTCTAGAGCAGCGTGAAAGGATCGCTGCTGGACCGAAACACCCAATGAGACACTGACGTCTGCATAGAAACATTCGTATCAGGTGTTCTAAGGATTAGCATCTCGGGATAACCAGACTACACCATTCTGAAGACTTTAAAGCTGGCTGGACTGCCTGCTGTGCCAGAAATATCACTCTAGGTAACAAATAATACAGCGTCCACTGTAGATTCCTGTAGCTGGTCCATTCTGACACCATATATGTGGAAGAACATAGGTCTTTAGGAGAACAATACATTTACTCTCACTGAGAATTGGATTATTTTGTGAACTCGTAAGAAACAGAAGTGCCACCTAAAAACGATTAAAACAGGAAGCCCCACCAAACCCTAAACTATCGAAAGGAGCATCATATGATTTTACTCATAAGTGCATTTTTATAATAAATAATGTATCTCTGAGGACAATGAAGTGAATAATTTACCAGCCCCTGAAAGGAAATATTTTCGCCATAATAGAGCACAGGATTGTTTTCTATTCAAAATGTCAGAGATGTGAAAATCAATTTGAGTAATAACAAATAATTATCTGATTTAAGATTACTTTTCTATACATGTAATTAAATTCTATAGTTATAAAATTAACAAATAAAATTAACCATTTCAGAAAAAAGCTACAGTTCAAAGAAAACAGAGCGTCCTTTCGATCCAGAAAAATGTTATATATAAAAAGAAGGTTTTAAAAAATAAATGTACCTGCCATGACTGGTGTGGTTCAGTGGATTGAGTACAGGTCTATGAACCAAAGGTCGCTGGTTTGATTCCCAGTCAGGGCACATGCCTGGGTTGCAGGTCAGATCCCCAGCAGAGGGCGTGCGAGAGGCAACCACACATTGATGTTTCTCTCCGTCTCTTTCTCCCTCCCTTTCCCTCTCTCTAAAAAAAAAAAAAAAATTAATAAACAAATGAAATCTTTAAAAAAAAGAAAAGGAAAGGGAAAATAAATGCACGTGCTGCATAAAGCACAGGTTATAGAACAATTACATAGGACAAGCACCGAGGTACAAGTCCAAAGACCCAGGCTGGAGCCCAGTTCCGCCAGCTTATGGCACATGCTCCATCTGACTCTGTTCCAGATGGTTCTGAGCAGCAGCCAGCTTGGGTTTATCAGAAAGGAGTTCAAGGGACAGTTCCAAGTGCACAACCTTCATGGGTGGACAACTTTGGGCTTAATTATCTTCTTCCTCAACACCAAATTAAATTCCTTTTCCAAATCCACCTTCATGATGTTCAAAAATAAAAAAAAGCAAAGCAAAACAAACCAAAAACAACAACAGCAACAATAAGACTGAGAGGACTGTTGATGTTTTGTCAACTTTAACTTCATCGTCGTCACCCATTGTCCTGTCTGTCACCTCTTGAAGCCTCCTTTGGGCACCTGACATGGCAGCCCTCTCCTTGTCTCATCCAGTTCCTTACAGATCCGTTCACTCCCTCCTCTCAGGGTGCTGCCCTGTCCTGGGGAACTCGGCCAGCAGGGCCGCCTCTTACAGCAGCGGGAGACGCCGTGTGCGCATGCGCATTCACAGCCCGGGTCTTCACGTGGCAGGTCCCCCGTTCAACCGTGACTCTATGGGCATGATCTGGGAACTGGAGCGCTTGTAAAATGGGTCCTACACTATCCCTACTCTGGTTGGAGGTAGCGACTTTATTTGGGGGAGCTACAGACTGAATTTCATGCCTTGCCAAAGGAGTTTGACTTAGAAGAAAAGTATGTCTTATGGGGCTTCTGAAAGGGATCAGTAGACTATAGCCTCTTTAAAAAGTCACTGTAGAAGCTCGATGTGAGGATGACTTAAATCACTTGCGATACCACCTAAATCATTGACACTCTTTTCATCTTTTCCTTTTCCTTTTCGTCATAAAAGATGCCTCTTTCAGAAAGAAGGCACCCCTATTATAACTCTACCATGATAGTTCAGTGACTGCAGGCCAGCTTTATTTGCAGTGGTGACTGTCACTGAGAAGAAGAGCACTTAGCCACTTGAGTCTAGTGCTAACAGACTCGAGGAGAGGCCTTGCAGTGTGACTGTTGGCTGTTGAGTCAACACAGCCCTTGACACTGAGTAGCCCCGAGAGCTGTGACGCACCTCCAGGCTTCTGACAGTGTAAGAATACCACACAAGGAAAAGGCTTTTCTCCTCTCAGGCCTTTTCACCGAGTGTTCCTGGTTTCTCTTCCATAATTAATAAACCTGATTATTCAGTCAAGTGTACAGCTTCCTTCCTGTTGAATACTAGATGTGCGTATTGTGAGGTTTCCCACGCACCCATTGGCTGTGGCTGGCCCCCCGGGAAGTGCTGCGTCAGCAAAGCCCAAGGTCAGCAACAAATTCTGTAGTTTAAGAAACCAAGAAAGCAAAAGTTGCACCCACGTTCGCGGGTGGAATTTCTGACAGTTCAAGTAGAAAACTGCGAATTTCTTAGCAAGAACATTTGTCAAGTGACGTTGAAATATATAGGACAGCTATAATTGAACAATAAAAAAAATAAGTGGGGTGCTACCAAAACAAAAACAGAAAAGAAATGTATAGAATTTCCTGGTATATAAACTACCACATAGTAAACCCAAAAGTGAGCAGAGAGCGGCTTCCTAGTCATCGGGTTTCTGCCCCAGTCCCAGGGTTTGCTCCTTGGGCGTTCTGGAAGTGCGCTGTTGCTTTTTCCCGGGAGAGGCAGTTATCCCCTGCACCAGAGACTCGTGCTGTGAGCGACAGGGCCGCTCCTTGACCTCCACAGACCGTCCACCGAGACTTGGGTAAGGATGCAAAACTGGCCCTCTTATCGCACGACAGGAGGTCACTCCAGCATTGGGGAGTACTCGTAGTCTTTGTAGGTAGTGGATGCCTCAGGTAGAAAACCATGTCGTTTATGCGGAATAGCAGTGCAGTTTTAGGAACTAGCATGTAGACATTTTTAGAATCCACGCTAAAATTCCCTCTCTTATTGCAGTGGAGTGTAAAACACAAATCTGTTAGCTCTGATTGTTTGGTTCTTTGTATTGCTTCTTATCCCTATTTTCTCTATGTTCTTAGAAAGTCGGGAAAAGAAGTGTATTTACCTTTTCTAAAGAAAATATTTCAGTCCACGTGGTGGATCTATTTGAACTTCAAACCAATACGGAAGCCAGACGGAAACCAGCTGATAGTTCTGTAATCTCAGACTTAGAGAAAGGTGCAAAGTGTACTTTACTGAGCCCTGAGTGTACCGGACCTGCAGCTGGAAGAACTCCTGCCTTGAGGTCACTGTTCACTGGGAATAATTTGCTAAGTCTGTAGTTTAAGTACCTTTCAGTGCTGAAAAGTTTGTTCTAGAACAGACCAGAGGTCCCAGAGGTTGGGATTACTCCGGTATTTGTGTAGAAAGTATGAGGACGGCTTTCCAAGGGGAGACCTGAGGAGGCCATCAAAATCGCCTTCTGCCTCGTGTTCTGTGGGATTGCTGCTCCGGCTCTCATCAAAAGTGTAACAAAAACAGTGAACAGGAGGGCTTGAAAACAAGGTCAAAAACTGCTGGAAACAAGGCAAAATATGGAAGAGAATTTTTCTATTAATTATAGTCCATACAGACCTTGTTTCAGGAGTGAGGCTGTTACTCCAGAATGTCTGTTTCTTTAAGAAAGTGCATGTTCAGTGTTACTCTTTGAACTCTTTTTGAAATTATCCCCAACAAAAATTCCTTCTTCATCTTGGTGCTGCTTACCCATCTGACCCTGTTCCACAGTCTTGATGAAAACCTTTTCTTTCATCACATCAGGCCTTCGACTTTGCCTTAAGGCTTTTTAGGGAGATATTTGGATTATTTGCTATGGCTTCCGCAGCATGGGCCCAACATCGACATTAAATAATAAACAATACTGCCTTTAATCATGAATTATCATATTATGTCAGCTATGATAATGTGTGAGGAGAAAAGTTTACCAGAAGTAGGTGAGTCTTAGATGGACAGATGTATATTTTTCTCTATATTTCGGAGTAAGATTTGGGGGTAGGGAATGAATAATAAGAAAACATTAACTCTATTTTCTCCAACACCAATTCAAAAACAGGACTGTGGCTCATTCCCTACCAGGTACAGATCTGAAACGTAGAAAAGTAAGCCGCATGAGGGGTGGACCAGGAGCGGAATCTTTGCCAGTAAAGTTTTTGTTGATTGGGTTCTGGAACTTACAGTTTTTTCATAGTGATGAGAATGTGAGGTGCTAGTGATGACTGGAAGATACTGCTCGTTGCCTTTCAGCAAGAATCCAGAGTTTCTGTCAGTCACAGTTTTCAGTGAAGTTCTGCAATTTGGCTGCAGGGGAGGCAGGTACCAGGGCAGCTTAGTGGCAGCTCAAGGGGAGATGCAGAATGAAGACATTTCTCTCCCCACGCCCACTGCCGCGGCACTGAGACATTGTCGTGACCCCCGAGTCTGTGCTGGACAGTCAGCCCAGAGTCTCCTCCTCCAGAATCTTCTCTGAAGCAATTATTGGTATTCATTGAAACGACTGCCCTAAATCTGCAAGACCCAACTCTGAGCAGTCATCTGGTCTGTTAGAGGAAACTGAGTAATATTTTGTTCATCTAGTTTTGCACGTGGGCGCAGTGCCCGTCCTCTGGGCAGCCCCAGCATCATCTCCTGGTTGGG